AAATGTAATGCAAAAGAAATTACAACTAAATCGATATTAATCAACCTTTTACTAGCCAAGTTACTTAGATTCTTTGTTACTTTCACTTAACTAAATTAAAGTTTACTTAATTCCATATTCCAAGTAAATTTTAACTTAAGATTTCTAATTAAAGCTACTGATAAATGTGTTAAGGTTTTTACTAGGCAAATCTTTGTAAATTTACTAGCATTTTCTGAGTGGAAAAAGTTGCTTAGCTTTTTTCAAGTAAATCCTACTCCACATTTTTTTCAGTGAGTGATGGGTAAACTTTGTGAATGGCACGACAGAAAGCTTATCAAGTTCTCCGCATCTCCAATAGTGTAAAGGGAGCCACTCGCAAATAATTTTTTTAGGGCAATGCAAACACTTTGTGCTGTTGTTGAAGCCCGACATCGAATCGAACATTAGCTAATGTGCATTTCCAACAAAATAATAATGTATAAATGCAACCCGGTATCACGACAAGACGTGAAATAATCACGTACGTTGGTCCACTTTGGAAAACGTGTAGATGTCACGGTTTAACCCCTCAAACGTGAAACTTACACGTGACCTATTCTACACGCAATCGCCTCTGCCATAACGACCTATTGGTTTTTATTAAACCGAGAAAAAATGGAATTTTGTTTTATTGACGATCACTGAGAAATGTTATATTAATTAAAATGCAAAAAAGTATTATTTTCAAGGTGAAAAGGATTCATTTGCCTTGATCCACGCCGAAAAAAAACGTCAAAATGTCACGTTTTAATGAAGTAGCCAAATTAGTAAAACGTCTATTTTTCCGGCGTCCCCCAGGCTCGTTTAAGCAAAAGGTTCGCTAAAACAACGCATTACATCGACGTTAAACCACGTTAACCGTGTTAACCATAACCTTTTAAATACTCGACCTACAATACTACACTCTCGTAATCACTCGGTGTAACGTTAGTCTTTGCCCCGCGATGTATTTTTCACTGCGTGAGTGCATGAGAACCATGATGTGCGTGACTCGTGAGACCCGCCTGGCTCGTCATACTAAAAAAGGCGGGTCTTTGCAAACGTCTCTATTAATGATAATGATTCCATGATAATGCATGGAATATAACAAGGGAAAGTGCCACTAAATAACAGGGCTAATTTGTGGGGGACGTTGCGTAGTAAGGCTTTGGTAATCAGATGGCTTGCGGTATCTGCTCCACAGCCAATCACGGGCCCCCTCCTTGCTTGGGCCCCGGGGCTTTAGCCCCGCCTAGCCCTAATGCGGCCGTGCATGCTACGTGCGGGAAATGGGAAAAAAATGACACAAATAATGCTTAATTTCACCTTAGGCGAGACACGGCTGGCAGAAACATCGATTTTTCATGCAGTGATAAGTTTTGAGATTTTGGGCTAGTTTACTTCAATATGTGTTCAAGCTGCTATAAAGGAAATGTTGAAAATATACATTAAGATTTATTTCATTACATTTAGTTTACTTGCGGCAGTAAATTTCGCCCGAATTTACCAAGAAGTTAGCATTCCAGTGTAAGACTGGAAAACTGGAACTGGTTGATGTAATCAGTGAAGACAAGAGGACCTTGCTTTACACACACACACACACACACACACACACACACACACACACACACACACACACACACACACACACACACACACACACACACACACACACACACACACACACACACACACACACACACACACACTCTTGCAGAGGAAGCTCACACAAGAATATGTGTTTTTAATGTGAATGTGATAATCTTTAAGGACTGCTTAGAATCATTTCAAAAGTCTCAGGGTGACTGGTAATAATGTCTCATTTCCAAAGAAGTAAAAGAAAAGGTAATAAGGTTTTTAAGAATATAGAAATATCTTGCACACAAAAGGGTGTGTCTTTGAGTTAATCACATTCTACCTTTTGTCTGAATGCAAACTCTCCGTCCCCCAGTAAACATGGTGGGGGGATTCAGTCCATTGTAGTTTGGTGACTAGATCAGGTAAATTTGGTGATTAGATCAGGTAAGGTTTGGCTCTATTTAAGGAAAATGCACAAGAGTTCAGGGCTGCTATTCTGTATCAGATCAGCCCATGATGTGTCTTCAAGACTCAGCTCATGTAGATAATATGTTGGGTAAAGTTTCTTTGTCCTAAAACATTTGATGGTTTGCTCTGATTATCTTGTGGAACTGTAATAATACATTTACCTGACATAATAAATTGTTATATTTGGCTATTCTAACAGACTTTGACTTTATTTTCATTAGAGTTAAAAGGAATAGTCAAGCATTAACATATTAAATGATGGACAGATATCATTGATAAACCTTTTCATTTTATGGAGTCAGATGAAACGAGTTAATTGATAGGATTAAATGTGTTGCATTTAATTAAAATTCACTTTGCTATGGAAAAGACGGAACACGCATGAAACCTTCACCACGAATCGAACCCCGCCACTTGGATTGACTTCGTGGCCCTTTTTACACCAGCGCGTCATGCCGCGTTCCGTCTGAAGTCTGTCATGACCGGTATCGTTGTAAAGCTCTGAGTCTCCTGCACAACGTCGTGTAATCCAAATATGGCCATTCCCTTTCTATCAGTAACCAATCGTGAATGTCCAAAGGGTGACTTAAAGCTAATGACAAAATCTCATTGGCTCCTGCTGGTATCTGCTAACGTGACTTGCTCAGATGCATCATGTGGTGTACTCCGCCAATGTTCATACATTGATTTACTGCTGTTGTAGGCCTTATATGCCTGACATGTTATTAAATAATCTGTTCATGAGCTTGAAATATTTTATATGATTACTAAGGGCCTGAGCATTTTTCTGTTTTTGAGCAATTTTTTTCCAATATCCATCCATCCATCTTCTTCCGCTTATCCGGGGCTGGGTCACGGGAGCAGCAGACTAAGCAGAGATGCCCAGACTTCTCTCTCCCTAGACACTTCCTCCAGCTCTTCCAGAGGGACACCAAGGCGTTCCCAGGCCAGCCGGTAGACATAGTCCCTCCAGTGTGTCATGGGTCTTCCCCGGGGTCTCCTCCCAGTGGGACATGCCCTGAACACTTTCCCGGGAAGGCGTCCAGAAGGCATCCGGAACAGATGCCCGAGCCACCTCAGCTGACCCCTCTCGATGTGGAGGAGCAGCGGTACTGGTCTGAAGGGGCCAACACGACAACATCATCCGCAAAGAGCAGAGACGAAATCACATAGTCCCCAAACTTGACACCCTCTGGCCCCTGGCTGCACCTAGAAATTCTGTCCATGAAAATGTTGAACAGAACCGGCGACAAAGGGCAGCCCTGTCGGGTTAGGTCCTAACTCTGCCGGAGTCCAACATGCACTGGGAAAAAGTCTGACTTACTGCCAGCAATGCGAACCAAGCTCCTGCTTCGTTCATACAAGGACCGGACAGCCCTTAGCAAAGGACCCCGGACCCCATACTCCCGGAGCACCCTCCACAGGCTGCCGGGAGGGACACCAAATCCACAAAGCACATGTGGATTGGTTGCGCAAACTTCCATGAACCCTCCAGCACCCTGTAGAGGGTGTAGAGCTGGTCCAGTGTTGCACGGCAAACCACACTGTTCCTCCTGAATCTAAATTTCCATTATCGACCATATTCTCCTCTCCAGTACCCTGCATAGATTTTCCCAGGGAGGCTGAGAAGTGTGATCCCCTGTAGTTTGAACACACCCTCCGTGGTGGTCGGGGACAGTGCCTCTGGGATGGCAGACCGGGGTGGTCTGACATCCCAGAGGCACAGACCGGGGTGGTCTGACATCCCAGAGGCACTGTCCCCGACGCCACGGGATGCTGCAGAGGCGTGTCAGCCAAGACAGCCACACAACATCTATAGACTTGAGTTACTCAGGGTGGATCTCATCCAGAGTTTCTTGACTAGGGTGATGGGTGAGTCCACCTCTGAGCCCTCAGCCTCTGCTTCCTTGATGGAATACGTGATGGCGGGATTGAGGAGATCCTCAAAATATTTCTTCCACCATCCGACGACATTCCCAGTTGAGGTCAACAGCCGCCCATCTCCACTGTAAACAGCATTGGTAGGGTACTGCTTTCCTCTCTGAGGCGCCGGACTGTTTGCTAGAATCTCTTAGAGGCCAACAGATAGTCCTTGTCCATGGCCTCACCAACCACTTCCCAGACCCGACTTTTTGCCTCCACAACCACCCGGCTGCAGTCCGCTTGACCTGCCGGTACCTTTCAGCTGATATCTACAGCCTCGATGGCAGGCAAATCTCTCAATTCAGTTGAAAATCGGTCCTCTTCATAACGTAAGGATCACGTCCAACATATGTTTCGACTTTCTGTGTATATACGTATTTCTCCTGTAATAGCGTCTAAAGTAGTACAGTACGAATTTTCCTCCATCTCGTCCATTGCGCTCTTCACTCCTTGCCCTCCATCTGCATTCCGCGCGTCAAACCCAATCACGTGAGTGCAAACCACAATTATGGTTGAAATGAGACTTTGTTTTTGATTTTAAAGGCAGAAGTTCATCAATACCTAAAAACAAATATGTTTAAAAAAATCAGAAAGCTGTAAAATGTGTTTCTCTTTGTAGGACATTAATTTCAATGTTTTTGCTTAACTTGATTTTGTCAATTTATTCATTTTATTTCCTGTTTTAGGCTGTATTTGTAATTCTTTAAAACCAATAAAAACAAACTAAAATATATTAGAAAATTAATAAACAGAATGAATGAGATACTGAGATAGTAATGCAACGTGAATAAAAGCCTAAATTTATGTTCATCATATAAAGAGATTGTGTCTCTTCAGAAAGTTTTGACTAAACCGCTCAATTCACATGGATTATAGTTTTATGGTCTTTTTATGAACTTTTTGAAGTGTCAAAGTGGTTGCACAGATGTAAATGGGGGGACAGAAAGCTCTCAGATTTAATCAAAAAGATCTTCACTTGAGTTCTGAAAATGAACGAAAGCCTTACGGGTTTGAAACAACATGAGGGTGAGTAAGTAATGAAAGAATTTTTATTTTTGAGTGAACTATGCCTTAAAATAACAAAAGCCATGGAGGTCATCATCCTCCAAAACGCAATATCATTTTCAGAGAGGAAAATAACATAACAAACATTAATGGATTTGATTATATGTGAAGTTTTATGGTATTAGTTTGGTTTGTGCAAATTTAAAACATTACATATTAGATAATACAGAGTATCTGCAATATAATATCAACATTTAAAAAATGGTTATAAAGAAAATCTAAAAAACCTTAAATTGGACACACCATCATGTCCTCCATTACTCAGTCCCTAACTGTAAATTAATCAAGCTATAAATTAACATTTAAGTACCTGAGCCTGAAAGCATATTGCTCTAAATCTGATATAGGTCTAAACTTTTTTAGAAATGCTGACATTTTACTTGCTCTAAATATGTATATATGTAATACATTTGTAATTATAAGACATTAGTTGAATAGCATGTGAATGTGATATTATATGTAATGTTGCATAAATTATTAATGGATGCTAAAGCGGAAAGGAATGTTTGTGTCTTTCATTTGGATTGCGTAGTCTTCATCAAACATCTTGGATTGAGCTGGGGTGAAATGGTTAACCCAGTCACCGACCTCTCCTGCGAAAACAAACATACTTATTCATTATTTTGACCACAATGTACTTTATATCATTTCTTATTACATGAGCCTCTGAATAATTGATTATGATTGCTCAACTGCCATGAGGGGTTTGTATAATGACAGCTAAACTATTTCACTGTTGTGCTGTAATGTATTATATAGCTCTGGTGTGTTTTCAAATGAAGTTGTTACCTTGATGTTTATTCTTTCGCAAAAGCGAAAGCAAAAGCGAAGCCGTCGTTTACAGTGAATTTAGAACAGCTAAAGGAGCGTTGTTAGAACTCCTAAAACCCCCTTAGCTGTTCTCAATCCACTGTAAAACACTGCGTCAAGGGGCTTATTGCTTTTATAAAACAGTTACTCCATAAAAATATTCATTTTAATATTTATTTTATTTATAAAATAAACACCAGCAACAAAAAATATAACATATAACACATTTATTCCTCCGCCAAGCAATTTAGTTCGAAAGAGGTTGCCAAGCAACACATGCAGGCAGGAACGAAGAATCACAAATAGAATTTGCGCAGTAATCCTAATGTAATGTGGTCACAGGTGTATGTTTGTTGAGTAACTTATATGGCTTCGAACGCGGCTTATCCAATCAGAATCAAGGACCGGAATTATCAGTTTTTGCCCCTGTCAGTCAAGACCGTAACCTTAGACTGACAGAAATGTAAAAAAAAAAAAATGTAAAAATGAATTTAGGCTACTTTAGTTTTGTACACTTTGTCATGTTAATTATAATCAAATGCATTTGGTTTTATTTGCTATGACTGGTCAGTTCAATGAGGCCAGTATCTCATTGGCTTGAAGAAACGGGGTGGTGTCCACTTTGTGGATTTGTCTGCACGTTGACGCTAATTGTATTTCAAAGTCCACAGATGCATGAGGGGATTTACAAATGCAAAAGAAGATATTCACAAATGCATGCAGTGATCTGCAAATGCACAGAAAGCATTCACAAATAAATGCCTGGCAGAGTTGTGTGTGACAAACACATTTTTAAATATTTTTCTTATTATTTGCAAATCTCATCTTAGTAAATGCCTCTTGTGCCTGGCGCAAATCTAAAAGGGGTTGGTCTGAAGTAGCTTCATTATTCATAGGTGTGGTTTGGGCGTAACGTGAAATAAACCAATCCGAGCGCCATCCAACATACCCTTTAAGAACAGGTGCGCATGTTGCATGACAGATTGTTATTATAACGGCGGGTTTACCAGGCGCGTTCACAGCCGATGAGACCGACGATCTTGTCAGGACAGTGAAAGACAGAGAAGTGACGTTGTATGGGGATGGGAGAAACTCTCGCACATCAGCGTCGGTAAAACATTATAGCCTATACGTATGTTTCTTGCCACTATTGGGCAAACAGGTCTGATCCTTCAGTACTACAATTAGCCTTAAAAAATAGGTAATTCGTTTTTTTCATCTTCATGTAAACCACAATGATTTCCCTCATGTGTTAATATTTTTCCTTGTTATAATGTATGATTTGCAAAACTAAAAACTACTGCATCTGTGTTGATGAGAGAATCAAAGTGTATGCGCGTTGTGTATACCCGCTACATTATGGCCAAGCATGCGCGCTTAAAATAGCATCATGAACAACGCACAACACGCCACTGACTTTATACCAGTTTTTTTCCTGGTCAGTGGCGCAATTGTTTACTGGAAGTGTAAAATAGCACCAGGGAATGTTTGCGCCGAAACATGCCTCCTCTTTGCGCCGATCCGCCCAGGGAGCGCAAGTTTATTCCCTAGTTTACCGACGTGCGTCTGTGGAGGGGAAAATCCCGCTTTGCGCGCTTGCAAAATAGGAATGAGACATGCGTTTGTTTGTGTATAAAGTCATTTGCGCCGGGTTCAAGATAGGGCCCCTAGGCTTAAGATTGAGTAAATCATGGGCTAATTTTCATTTAATATGGAGATGTTTTTTTTTTTTTTTTTTTTTAAATGTTCATGTATTATCTGTTATATACCCTAAGGAAGGGTCTTTAAGGATACACCACAATGTTGCTGGATTTCTCTTAGGCCCTGAAAATGTAAAAATATTTTATCGGATGTGCCTTTCATTTACACGGCAACGGCGTTTTTGTGGCTTAAAAACGCAAAAAAGTGAAACCACCCTCCAGAGTGGAAATCTTAAAAACGCTCCTCCATCCTGTTCTCGTTTAAAGGGTAAAAACACAAAAGTCTGCTAAACAGTGAAGGTTGTATGCAGGTGCACTGACTTGTTGTGTGGCAGTGCTCCACATCGCCACCTAGCCGCCTGGAGTGCAGACGAATTTCACACACTTTTGCGTCATCATGTGCACGCGGATTTCCCACCCATTACGCTCATCTAAACACAGAATAAAAAGTGATAACGCAATGCCACTTTTCCGTTTTCTCTTCAGATCGTTTCTGTGTAAACATAGCCTTAGTTTCAATTCTGTTGTCCACAAACTACAAAGAATATTAACATATCTAACTTTCTCAGGCAGCCATTAAGGGGGTACACCAGTGTTATTTTGGGGGAAATATTAGGTTCTGCTCCTCATTCTATAACTAAAAACATTTAAAGTATAAATAACTAAGAATAAATATCATCTAATAAGTGTCATATCATCTCTACTGATGAGATCTTGCGAGGTGAAAAGTATTGTGATTTCAGTATGACGGAGTTGAGTTGAAGCAAAACCTTTTACAGTGCTAAGTGCATTGTCACACTCCTAATAAGGAATTTCTAGTATGGTTTTATATTAACCTTTTCTCATGAAGGGAGAAATAGACTGATCAAACACAGGTTTTGGCATGAATGAGTAGTTAGCCATTGGATTGTCTTTCATGACTTGGAAGGATGTCAACTGTGCAATCCTTTCTATGATATCCTCAGAAACAGGCAGGTCCAGATAGTGCATGATTCTTTTAATCTCCCTAACAGGATTCTTGGTGAGAGGAAAAGAGAAAAACATAGATACAAGAAAGTTAGTCTAAAAAAAGGATATAAAATAAAAGATAAGTCAGATTTTAGCAAAATGACAGGACTTGAAAGGGACTGGATTAAAAGTATACCTCCTTCATGTCCTCATAGAGCAGGTAGAGAATATTCTTTTCCTTGCATTCCTTCCAGTAACCTTTGACATGGTCATACCAAGAGCCCCAACATACTGTAAAAACATTAGAGTACAGAGTAAAGATTCCAGGTTTAAATTACATTCTGCATTTAAATATGTAGTTCCCTTTCGTAGTCACTCCGAGTTACGTCAGGAGTGACGGAGAATGGGGGTTTCGCCTAGAAAGCCAATCCTCTTCGAGTATTAAAAAACGAGCCAATGGCAAAGAAATGCCATGGGTCTGCGGAATTTGCATAGCGTATCTCCGCCTCACCCCGTGAGTATAAAAGGAGGAAGCGGACGCCACCGCAGTATGTTTTCGCTTCGGAGCCAAGAGAACTTCTTCACTCCACAAGCCACACAATCTGAGTTTACTATGTGACTCACCTCTTCGAGATGAGTGAACTCTCTGGTGTTGGTGTGACGGCGGTACCCAGCGAGTTTCACATTGCCTGCGATCTGAGCAGTTGTCTGCCAGTGTGTGTGTCTCTCCCTGGTCGCTTCAACATCCGCGGAGTTTTCTCCTCTCACTGAAAGAGTGTGCACGCGGCACGTCTTTTTAAAGACGCGTCTTTTTAAAGACGATTTGCCCGTGTATTCCTGAGTGTGGTATTCTGATAGAGTCAGCTGATGGGCGCGAGCACTGTTTGACGTGTTTGGGCTTTGATCACGCTCAGACAACGCTCGTGGGTGTGTCACGTTCTCTCAGTGGGGACGTGATCATCGCAATGTATATGGTTGAGACTCCGTGAGCTCAATAGAGTGAGAGTCCCCTCATCCACTACCCAAACTATTTTCTCCACGTGAGATAATACTTTGGCTAGTGGCCAGGGTTTGTGTGGAAAATTCTGCCATGTCCCGAGCACTTAAGGCTGATGACTGGTTTTTGGGGGTGGCGAACCCAAATCCTTTCTTCCCGGATGTGCATGAAGAGGCCGTGAGATCGTGGAAGTCTCCTTTGACTTTTCACGATCACTCAGCGGCCTCGTCCACCTTCCCTGCCCTCGTAGAGGCCGCAGTCTATGGTACACTGGGGTTCCCCCCTATGGAGTGTTCTGTGGCAACACTTATGTGTCCCCACAGCGCCTCCACCTTAGGGCAACCCTAAGCACCCCTCCAATGCCTGTAGGTTCTTGTCTACTCCGGTGGCGGGGACCTGTAGAGCTGCGGGGCAGGCTGCCACCTCACTGTATGTTATTGTCATCCTTATGGGTGTTCAGTGACATGCACGAGGATAGGGCTGATTCAGGGCTCATCCTTGAGCTGCCTGCCGTCACCAACCTTGCTCTACGAGCGACGAAGGTGGCCGCATGCTCCCTGAGTCAGGTGATGTCCACATGCGTCCACATTTTTGGCTTAACCTGGTTGATGTGCGTGAGGCTGAGTGAACCAGTTTCCTCAACTTCCCCATACCCCAAGCTGGCCGCGGCGGCGGCGCGGTCGTGAACCCTGCCTAACAGTTCTCGTCCGCCCAGAACCAACCAGCCGCTGGCTCAAACGCCTCAGTCCGCTTGCCGCCGAATGTGCCCTCCTGCGACTTCCGGCCCCTCCCGCCCGGCCCCAGCAGCACCGGGCCGTGCCGTGGAGGTGGTCGCAGGGAGGTGCCCCTGCCCGTACCAGCCCGCTGTACGCCAGGCTATGCGGCGCTCCCGTTACGGGCAGCTCAGATATGGCTTGCAGTTCTTTCAGGGAGTGGTTGCAGGCCCACTCCTTCCCCCGGTGGAGGGCTGGGGGAGAATCTTTTCTCCAAAGAGCTGCATTCCATCCCTGAGCACACAGAGCCGAATGGCAGTGTGCGACGCCCCCGTACCTCGCCACTGTCATCCTCCTCTGTCTCTGAGGGTGTGGATGATAGTGCGTGCCGTCTCCGGACCACACCACTCTCATCCCCCTCTATTGCCAGACCCCTGGCAGAGCAGACCCCCGCGGAACGCTGGTCCTTCCCTGGTCTCCTCTGTCAGGGCGCGGAGCGTGACACACACGCGCAGGGTCGCTATGCCACCCTCGCCTGTGCCGATCTCTCCGCCCCTCTGCCCCTCCGGGGGGACGCCTGTGGCTCGGATGATTCCATTGGATCAGTTTTGGGGGCTTGGTTAGAGCTCCCCAATCTGTCCCGTTGGGTTGCCCGAACTATCAGGCTCGGCTATGCAATTCAGTTCGCACGGTCTCCTCCCTGCTTCAGGGGAGTCTGCTTTACGGTGGTCTGTGGCTATGCCCCGATCATGAGAGCGGAGGTTGCCACCCTGCTGGCGAAGGGTGCAGTCGAGGCGTCCCTCGAGCCGAGATGAAAACAGGGTTTTACAGCCCCTACTTTATTGTCCCCAAGAAAACAGGTAGGTTAAGATCGATTCTGGACCTGCGCGTTTTGAACCGCACCCTTCACCGGCTGCCGTTCAAGATGCTCACGGCCAAACGCATTTTCGAATGTGTGCGGCCCCAGGATTGGTTTGCAGCGATAGACCTGAAGGACGCCTACTTTCATGTCTCCATTTTACCTCGACACAGACCGTTTCTTCGGTTTGCTTTCGAGGGGCAGGCATATCAGTACGCGGTTCTCCCATTCGGGTTGGCTCTGTCTCCTCGCGTCTTTACGAAGATTGTCGAGGCAGCCCTTGTTCCCCTTCGCGAACAAGGGGTTCGCATCCTGAACTATCTCGACGACTGGCTGATCCTAGCACACTCTCGAGATCAGGTCTGCGAACACAGAGACCTTGTGCTCCGGCACCTAGCTCGTCTGGGCCTTCGGGTCAACTGGGAGAAGAGCAAACTTTGCCCCGTGCAGAGGATCTCTTTTCTCGGTATGGAGATAGACTCGGTCGCCATGTCTGCGCAGCTTACGAGCGAGCGCGCACACTCACTGCTGACTTGTCTTCAACAGTTCGAGGGCAAGAGTGCGGTTCCACTGAAACTTTTTCAGAGGCTCCTGGGGCATATGGCATCCGCAGCCGCGGCAACGCCACTCGGATTGCTTCATATGAGACCGCTTCAGCTGTGGCTTCCCGATCGAGTCCCGAGGTGGGCATGGCATCACGGTTCACTCAGAGTTCCAGTGACTCCGACCTGCCATCAGACCTTCACCCCGTGGAGGAACCTCAGCTTTCTACGGGCCGGTGCTCCCCTAGAACGAGTTTCCAGGCATGTTGTTGTCTCCACAGATGCCTCTGCCACGGGTTGGGGCGCCATGTGCAATGGGCATGCAGCCTGCGGGCTCCTGGTCAGGACCCCAGCGCCTCATGCATGTCAATTGCCTCGAGTTGCTGGCAGTACGCCTTGCCCTGCACCGCTTCCGTGCGTTGCTCTAGGGTCAACACGTACTAGTCCGTTCAGACAATACCGCGACTGTAGCGTACATCAACCACCAGGGGGGGTCTACACTCTCGCCGTATGTCGCAACTCGCACGCCACCTCATCTTATGGAGTCAGAAGCACCTGAGGTCCCTTCGTGCTATCCAGATTCCAGGAGTTCAGAACTGTGCAGCCGACGAGCTGTCACGGCTCCGTCCAGTCTCTGGCGAATGGCGACTCCATCCCCAGTCGGTCCAGCTGATATGGGATCAGTTTGGGGACGCACAGATAGATCTGTTGCCTCCCACGACTCATCCCATTGCGCCCTGTATTACTCTCTGACCGAGGGCACGCTCAGCACAGACGCAAATATGCGTTTCCCCCAGTGAGCCTTCTTGCAAGATCAAGGAGGACGAGGAGCAGGTCATTTTGGTCGCCCCATACTGGCCCACCAAGACCTGGTTCTCCGAACTGATACTCCTCGCGACAGCACCTCCTTGGCCAATTCCTCTGAGGAAGGACCTCCTTTCTCAGGGACGGGGGACCATGTGGCACCCTCGACCCGATCTATGGAGACTGCATGTGTGGCTCCTGGATGGGTCGAGGCAGGTTTGTAGCTGCGGTGGCACTTCCGCTAGAGCGTCGTCCACGAGACACGTCTATGTGTTGAAGTGGAACCTCTTTGTCAATTGGTGTTCTTCTCGCCGAGAAGACCCCCGGAGATGCTCGATTAGTGTCGTACTTTCCTTCCTGCAAGATGGGTTGGAGCGAAGGCTGTCTCCCTCCACCCTGAAGGTGTATGTGGCTGCCATTGCCGCATATCACGAAGCAGTTGAAGGTAAGTTTTTGGGGAAGCATGACCTGATCATCAGGTTCCTGAGAGGAGCGAGGAGACTGAATCCTCCTCGCCCTCCTCTCAGAACCCTCTTGGGACCTCTCAGTGGTTTTAAGCGCCCTGTAGAGGCCTCCCTTTGAGCCTCTGCAATCAATCGAGATTAAGTTCCTGTCACTTAAGACAGCGCTCCTGGTTGCACTGGCCTCCAATTTTCCGTTGACGAAGCGTGCCTGGAATTCGGGCCGGGCTACTCTCACGTGATCCTGAGACCCCGGACTGGATATGTGCCCAAGGTTCCTACCACTCCCTTCCGGGACCAGGTAGTGAACCTGCAAGTGCTGCCCCTGAAGGAGGCAGACCCAGCCTTAGCACTGCTCTGTCCAGTACGCGCCCTCCGTGCTTACGTAGACAGAACGCAGTGTTTCAGGACCTCAGACCAGCTCTTTGTCTGTTGTGGTGGGAGCCAGAAGGGAAGGGCTCTCTCAAAGCAAAGGTTGTCTCACTGGTTAGTGGACACCATTGCTTTGGTTTACCAGCAGCAAGGCCGACCGTGCCCCCTTGGTGTGACAGCCCACTCTACCCGGAGTGTGGCTTCCTCTTGGGCTCTAGCGCATGGCGCCTCGCTAGCAGACATCTGCAGAGCTGCAGGCTGGGCGACACCCAACACATTCGCTAGATTCTATAATCTCCGAGTGGAGCCTGTGTCCTCTCTTGTACTCGCTCACTGCCTTCTACGGAAGCCCTGGGTTCCTCCAGCACTGTTGATGCTGACGCCAGTGTATTGCTTGGACGTCGATTAGGTGCCTCCGTGTGCATGGTTCCTGCTAGTAACCCCCACATGTGTATTTCCACTGTAAGCCTCTCGGAGCATGTGTCTTCCCTCTGCAAGCCACCTGGCCACCCCTGGAGTTAAGATTCTAGCCACCCTATGGGTTGGTGACTCCAGTGTTCCTCCATACGAAGCGCCCTGGGCCGTATGTGTATTCCTAAGTCCTCCCCAAGGGTAGGCGTACTGCGGCATATTCCTCTGGGATATGCTCCCCAGTGTACCTTGGTATTCCTGTGTCAAGTAGGACTCCTCGTCAGTAAGTGCGTCAGGGGTCAGACTTGCGCAGGGCACTGGAAGACAGCTGTGAAGGTGGCGTGATTACACGGGGGACCCCCATTCTCCGTCACTCCTGATGTAACTCGGAGTGACTACGAAAGGGAACGTCTCGGTTACGTATGTAACCCTCGTTCTGTGAGTAGGGAACGGAGATGTTACGTCTCCCTGCCACTTCCGCTGTACCGCTGGGTAGACGCCTGAGTTCAGTCTCGGCTCCTCAGCGAAGACATACTGCGGTGGCGTCCGCTTCCTCCTTTTATACTCACGGGGTGAGGCGGAGATACGCTGTGCAAATTCCGCAGACCCATGGCATTTCTTTGCCATTGGCTCGTTTTTTAATACTCGAAGAGGATTGGCTTTCTAGGCGAAACCCCCTTTCTCCGTCACTCCTGACATAACGTCTCCGTTCCCTACTCAGGGAACGAGGGTTACATACGTAACCGAGACGTTTTTTCTCACATTCCCCCTTCATGAACTTGTGAATGTATCCATCCCAAGGTCCTGGCTCTGGCTGGGTAAGATTCATACGTTCAAAGTGGAAGTAGCTTACAAGATTATCCTTAGCATTTCGGGCTGTATAGATGACCTGGGGAAAAGCAGGCAGAGCAGCTAGTGGACATGATTTATGGTACTCTTTGGTCAGAGGCAAATCAAGGGGTTTAAACATTATATTTCGGAGTACCTATTACCAGAACACTCTAGAGACAGGTCATTTTGTTATCTTTTGCGTTGGATTGGAAGAACGAAAATAAACCCAAATTTGACCTTGTGTTTGAAATTTGTTTCAATTAAATTATTACCTTGCATTTATTTTCCCAGAATCCTTTAGGCACTAGTTCAATGGGTAAGTGAGTCTTGATTACTCTCTGTGGTTTCATCTGTCTAAGTAAGTCAAGCCCTGAATGAAGCATAAAAGATAAAAATGTTCAAGACATGAGTGGTGTAGACGCAGGTGCACTGACACATTCTTCATATCACAAAAACCTTGTGATAAGTATAGATGAAGCATGTATAGAAATGCTTACCTGATGGTATAGGTGGAGCAGAGAATTTTTCCAGAAATGGTATACGGACAGCTATCGGCGCTCTCTTGCACACCTCAGCATCTCCATTGTGCAGCAGAAGATCCACTATCTCTTGAGTCCAGGTTGTGCCTTAACACAGAGACAAGCATTAGACAACTTGTTCTCAACCAGGGAGCAGGAGCCCACAAGGGGGCCTCAGCAAATTTCTGTGGCCACAAGATGACTGTAATATTATGCAGACTCAGAGAGCACAACTGGAGAACAGTTTTACATGAGTTTATGCGGCAGAGAGTGAGTCAAAGCAGGCAGGAATCTGAATGAAACAGAGCAATGAGTGATGATGATATGGAGACTGAAAGTAACAGTCTTTTCTTGAATATAGCTAAGAGGGGAATAAACGAAGGGAATGGATGGACACACCTCAGTTGCAGCTGGCAGGAGAGGATCCAGGAAACAGGGGAAGTGCACAGAGTAGTGATGTTACATTTGACTCTGACTGAAGCTTCAAAGTGCGTATCAAGTACGCTGTGCAATTTCTCATGAATCTCCGTGCCAGAGCACGTACTATTTTCAGAGAAACACGTGATCAACGAAAAACGAAGCCTCCCCAGATAGCACATATATCGTACGTCTGCAAGATGTCTGTTAAAGATCACTTCATCTGGAAAGCATCTGATGTTCACTAACATCTGATAGACATCTTTAAGATGTCAGTTTAACATACACTCTAAATCATTACATCTTAAAGACATCATCTATTTGACATCCTATATACATATTGCAGATGAGCAAACACTCTAAAAAATATGCCTTCCAGATGTAAACACACACATTAAATAGATGTCTCTGTGATGTACGTGTGCGGTCACTTTCTTTCCAGTCACGTGAATGCTTCACTTTGCGTGTCGGAGTGTTTGAACCCAGACCACTACTTTACAGGGTTTTGGAAGTTTAAGCCTATTTACTAACATTTTTTTGGAGTGACGTATCCATGACAGTAAACAACAAAGGCCATGTCCACACTAATATGTTTTCGTTTGAAAACGGTTTGGCCTTCCGTCCACACTGAGACAGCGTTTTAAATAAAAACGTAGCTTTTGGAAAACACTCTCCAAAGCGGATAAATCTGAAAACGCTGTTTTTGCGTTGTAGTGTGTGTTGTGTGTAGTGTGTTGTAGACTGTGAAGCCAGAGGTATTTGAAAACGATGAGTTTAGTCATGTGATCCATGTTGTACCATTAGATATTCATATACCGGTATTGTGCTATTCACTTACGCTGTTGCTAAAATATGTTACTTTGCACACTCTTCATATCACAGTCCTGCACAGATGACAGAAAATTTTCTCACATTTGCTGTCCCGTGGCACTACAGGAGAGCAGTTGCGTTTTAAACCAATGGTGACTGAGTGTGACCTGAACACATCAGTGATGGTAAGATATTTTGCTAAATTAAATGATCCTGTTTGAAGAATTGGGCTGTACTTTGTACCATTATTTATTTTTCGATCTGTATTATCTCGGTGAGCTTTTATGAGGTTTCACACATAAATAGTAAGGTTTTAGAAGTTTCTCGTCCACACTGAAACGTCAAGAAAGCCTGAAAACGCTAGTGTAGATGGAGAGCGTTTTTAAACGAAAACGGCATTTTCAAATTTATCGGGATTAATGATAAAGTTACAAAACATTAAAAATCAAAACAAATCTGATGCACATTCTTGTTATTAATTTTCTAGACAACCAAGCAAATGCAAGAAATAAATTAACATTTATTTTTGATGGGTTTTATGCCAATAATTGACCACACACACGCTATGTTTGACACAAACCATCTGGTTGCACTTTATTTTACAGTATGTGTATTTTCAATGTACTTACAAAGAAAGTATTGAATAATATAAGGTAACGATGGATGGGTTAAAATTAGATTTAGGGGTATAGGTTCAGGAGTAGCGCCTAGTTATTGCAAGTTATTGTCAAGTCAAATCACCTTTATTTATTTAGCGATTTTTCAATACAGGTTGTTTCAAAGCAGCTTTGATAACAAGAAAATGCAACAATGTTTGTTTCTACTGTACAGCAGACCTAGAAGAAAATAATGTCATAGTCCAGCCCTTACACAAATTAACATACTCGGTTACATACGTAACCTTGGTTCTCTCTAGAAGAGGGAATGAGTATTGCGCAAGTTGGTTACGCTATGGGTAAAGTCAAGCCAAAAATTATTCTTTATTTTTATTGTCAACACAGTGCAGCAGTCAGCAGACCTAGAGCAGGCTATCCTGCGTGCCCATTGGTTGGCTGCCCTGCAGCAACTGCAGCCTACCACTGAGCCTTGCGCATGACGTCACACCCTCTACACAGCCAGAATGGGGGTGGCTTAGCATATAAAAGACGGGCTCAGGGGCTGCATCACTGGTTTCATCAGCTGAAGTGAAAATTTGCTTTTGGCGCCTGCACGGTCGGGTTAAACAATATTCGTTCCCTCTTCTAAAGAGAACCGAGGTTATGTATGTAACTGAGTACGTTCTCTTACGAGAGGGTCTCTCGTATAGGGTAAGTTGCTTATGCTACGGGAACCCATTGTCAATGCCTTGCGCGCCCAGCATCAACTTCACGAGTCCCAGGGATTCCAAGGGAAAATAGGTGGCCAGCAGCGCGGGCCAGCACATGTTATAAGTGTCACAGATGAGAAGAACACAGATGAGTGAGTATAGACCAGGTTTATTGAGACAGGTGATTAATGGCAAATAGTAGGTGAGTAATGTAGTTGAAGTTCAGTAAAGTGGCTGGTAAACAGTCTGATAGCGTTTCTCTTATCTGGAGCAAGAATGGAAGACTGATGGGCTGCAGCAGCGGAGAGGAGAACGGGAGAAGACCGGGAACAGGAGCAGATGAGGAGCAGATGAAACTTGGTGCCAGCGGGTAAGTAATCCTTTCCAAAGTAGAAGCAGAGCGGGAGTCTGTGGTCGTAGTGTAGACGAGACCAGACAGTGAGTGACTGTCAGAGGTGAGTCTTTATAGGGAGAATGATTAGCACGGTGATTGATGGGAACAGGTGATGGTGATTAGTATTCTGGGGAGCTGGAACGAGTGGGCGGCGTGATGGTGTCTGGTGCTGACGCTGATGGATCCGTGACAATAAGCACATATAGGGTATATATATCGGCGATGCCGTTCCATGTAATATTCACCATACAGTGCGGCTCAACCAGGAGAGCCAGAAATGCGTGAAAGTAGTCTGCACATGAGAAATCTGGGACATACACACCGCTTATACTGACAGAAGTCTTGTCTGCAAGGCAGGAACTTCCAGGTTATAAAACGTAACACAAGTGGATGGGGAGGCCTAGCCTGATGCCTCACATATGTCTTGAATGGAAATTCCGCTGGACAATACCTACGACGAGGCCACGCCTCTGGTGGAACGCCTGAAAGGGGCGGAGTGCGTAATGTAAGCCCTCAGTGCCCTGACAGGGCAGAGGAGATTAACATTAACACTATCGGATGCTAGCAGAGCCGAGAGGGAAATGACCTGCGCTTTAAAGGGGGTTCCCAACACTTTTGGGACATAGCCGTGCCTTGGCCTGAGGATGACTTTTGAGTCATTTGGCCCGAACTCAAGACACACAGCGCTAACAGATAGCACGTACAAATCCCCTACGCGTTTGACTGATGACAGAGCTGTTAGAAAAACGGCTTTGAGCGAGAGGTACTTTAGGCCTAAGGAGTCTATTGGTTCAAAGGGGAAAGCTTTCAGTGTTTCTAGGACCATTGAAAGATCCCACATGGGAACCGACTGGGGTCGCATAGGGTTATTCCTTCTGGCTCCTCTAAGGAAGCGGATGATAAGCTCGTTTCTTCCTATTGACTGACCGTGTGTCGACTCGGTAAACGCTGCAGAGGCCGCCACGTATAATTTAAGCATGGATGGGGACCTGACCTTATCCAACAGCTCTTGAAGGAAGCCAAGCTACCACTGGACCCCACATCTTCATGGGTCTAGATCTCTATCGACACCATTTGGAGAACACCAACCATTTAGACGTGTAAAGCCGCCTTGTAGAGGGAGCTCTGGATTACGTAATCGTGTTCATCACTCCTTCTGGCAAGACAACGGGTACCTGTTAATTACCCATGCATGTAGAGACCAGCCCTCTGGATGGGGATGCCAGATTGAGCCGCAGGCTTGAGAGAGGAGGTCTCTCCTCACTGGAATCGGCCAAGGGGCTGTGTGTGACTGCTGTGCTGTTTTGATTCTCCCATAGCGGGGATTTAAGGAGCACCATGTGGCGAGTTTCCCTGATCCCCTTGATTACTGGCTGGCTGGTCACAGAGAGACCAGAGGGGAAGCATAAAGAGGGAGGCTGGGACAATTTGGGCCCATTCACTATCCGATGCAAGGATGGAACAGCTGTCACCCAGGTCGATTCCTTCAGCTTCGTCCCTTGAGGCGGCGGCAATGTGGGCCGAAGCCGCCAGCTGCGTGTCCAGGAGGGGCGGAGAAGGAGAGAGGGAGGCTGGAGGGATGAAATCTGGCGAGCTCTTCACTCTGAACTTAGGTTCCGGTATCCTCTGCGTGGTGAAGGCTCCGAGTCGAGCCCGCAGGGTCGACAATGGAAGCTGCGTCACAGTGCACGCAGCCTCCTGAATCCAGGGCAAGGGCTGAGTGGTTTGGGCCCAGGCAGAGAGCGCTGTTTTAGAGAAGGAAAAGTGCCGCAGCAGTGAACACTCACAAGGCAAATATCACAGTAAAAAAGGATACTCAACATCAGATGGCGTAGCAGGCACGGAAGGCCGAAGGCGGCAAAGGCCGGCTTCTTCAGGCGCTGACCTCTGCTTGCTGGCCGCTAGTTTCAATGGTGGATGACTTTTCTCAGAGTCCAACGATGCGGAGAGCTTCGCTGAAGATGATGAAATCAGTGATGCAGCCCCCTAGCCTATCCTTTACCATAAGCCACCCCCTTCTGGCAGATTGTGACACGTAGAGGGTGCGAAGCGCCCTCAATGGGCGTGACGTCAAGCGCAAGGCTCAGTGGTAGGCTGAAGGGCAGGGCATGCAAGATAGCGTGCTCTAGGTCTACTGGCTGCTACACTCCGTTAACAATATGTTAAATATGACGGATCATTTTTGGCTTCAAAATCTAGAGAAAAGATGACTTTACCCATAGCATAAGCAATTTACGCAATGGAGAGAACCTTTCACAAGAGAAATTTGTTTCTTTTTGTAGTAACTATGTTTTTTTTGTAGTAACCATGGTTTAACTATGTTTTTTGCAGTAAAACCATAGTAACTAAAAATGAACCAAGGTTTTACTATGATAACCTTGGTTTAACCATGTTTTTTTGTGTAGTAACCATGGTTTAACTATATGCAAATCTGCAAATCTCACTTACCAATGTCCATCTGTACCACTCGGAGGTGATTGGGCTCTCAGACGAGATCCCAATTCATCAGTCACTGACGTAACATCTCAGTTCCCTCCTTCAGGATAAGGAGGGCCGTGAGAGAATGGCGCAAGGCTGGTGGCGTGATTCATAACCGGTCCCGTATCTCTCACAAAGGAGTGTAGGGATAAGAGAAGGAGCGACGACAGTGAAGGACAAGAGAGGCCAGACCTGGATTTTACATTGTGTTTAAACTTTTTGTTTTATTATATGTGGCAGCAGTCATCCGTTAGGGACCTTCATTTTGTATTTGTTTATTTATTTATTAAAGTCTTTTAAACGTTTGCTGGTTCCCGCCTCCTTCTTCCCACAACAACAAATTGTGTTACAATAACCAAAGTATAAACACAATGTCAATAAGAGATTCATTGGACAGCTTCATTGATTATAGTGGGAGTTTTCGCAAGAGTGCAGCTTTGTGTACCTCACATTGTAATTGATGGTTTCAGTGATTATAATGGCAGTGATCTTTGTTTGATTTCTGCATAGCTATATGTTTTTCATGCTGCTAACTATACATTGCAATGTTTCTGAACTGACATTTATATTTAAATGTAGGATTGATTCCGATTGACAGTGATATCCACAGCAATGGATGGAAATGATACTGATACGTGTTACTAATCTGTCAAATGAGTACATGCAAAATAATAGACCTGACACTTTTTCAATGTAATGTGTGTGTCACTCAGTAACTTTAAATCTAGAGATTGTTATAAAATAGTTCTAAGCACATTTCTTTTATGATTTGTCCTGACTTGTGTATTTCATTATTTCGCGAGCTTAGAATTATAAGGTTCTATCTCCACTTTTGGTCGAAATTGAGTTTTTGACATAATCTGATCCATAAGGTGTTTATTAATGCCTGTTATTTTTGTAAAAAAAAAAAAAAAAAAAAAAAGAAGATTAATAGATAAAGCTATAATAGAAGATTATACTACATAACAGTCTTGCCAGCTGGGATGTAAAAACTTTGATGCTCAATATGTCAGAACTACCCTAAACAGAGATAGAACCTTTTAATTCTAAGCTCACGATTTGTATTTCATGAATAATTAGGACGAATTAATATTTCAAACTGTTTTTTTTTTTTTTTTTTTGGATTTATTGTCAGTACCAGGCTCACAATTCACTGGGGTTGGGTACTTTGATATGAGATGTTTGCTTAGAGCAAACTAGAAAAAGGTTTTGTTCAGTTTTTTTAAGATTGAACTTTCTTTCTTTCTTTAAAAGAAAATGTATAAAAAAATTCATAAACTTTTTTTTTGAAATTGGAAGTTTCTGTATATATATATTTTTTTTTTACAGGTGTTTTACGTGTATTTAAAATTTTACACATTGTGTTGTGTTTTAGAATGTATAATGTCCAGGTAAGGAGCTGTCAGTACCTTTTCTGCTATTTTATTATTATTTCAGGCACAGAGATGACCGCTTTTACCAAAGCATCTAAAGGCAACACAGGACATTACCCCTGACTGTGAGATCCAGCGGACCTAGTCCCAGGTCATGAGAAATATATAGACACATGTCAATATTCAAACATAATTTGACCCTATGAAGAGACTGGCAGAACCCCCAGAATGGAATTAATCTAATCATTAAACTAATGCCATTATGTTAATCTTGAATACCATATATAATGTAGTTCATAAGTTGTTTTTTTTTCATGTGATGTTATGTAAGGACATAGAATCAGTGGATCTAATTTGTATTCCCACAACAGAAGACAGTTCCTTTAAATCCATTGCTCAAATGGTGCTCAAGAAAGAGTGCAAAGTACACAGTATACAGTATAGTCTGGTCTTACACTAACTGGACATTAAAAAGTACAAGACCTTAGGATGATTAGCAAGTTTTTTTTTTAACAGTGTTTTACCTACTTTAGGATAAGTAGAGATGAGTAGGTCTGATGGGTCGGGACAGAATTCACTGATTGATTTCCAGTTGTCTGCAACGGTGCTCATGAGAGGGACACCCTGTACATCTATTAGAGGAAACCGATAAATAGAATCACCTGCTCTCTTAACGGCTTCTTCGTAACTCAGTACCTCTTCCATCACCACAAAATAAGTCCTCTGGAATATCCTCTTATCCCTTATAGTCCTGTTTTCTGAAGTTTTCCACCCTAATTTATTCTTGTTGAAATCTTTCTTTTTGGCTTTTTCTTAAATGATCCTTGAATTAGTAGCCTTAAGGTCTATATATAGGTCTTTGCCTACTCCTAAAGTTAGTTGTTCGCTTGACCTCCTTCAATTATTATCATGTTCTGTTAGCTGTCCAAAGTTTCTTTCTTAGACTTTTAGTATTCCAATTATGAATATTCTTTTGATTTTTTTGTGTGTGCTCTCTCTCTCTGCCTATTTCTGTTTTCTGTGTCCCTATATTTCTTTCTACTCCTTGGGAGTAGAGTGTAAATTGCTAAAGTGCAGGGTGCTTATATAACACTTGGACAGCCAGGGATGAATTCCAAACTTTCAGCAATGTTATCTTAACTGTTAATCTGAGTTCAAGGGAGTGTCTGAAAAGTGACACTTTAAATGAAAAAAAGCAGTGAGAATTATATAAAACTCAAATGAAAAAAGATAAATAAATGAGAAAAGATATATCTCAAATGATTTATGTGACCATTTATAAAACTAGATGTCAGTCCTGAACCCGAAGCAAACCTAAGCAATTTATAATAAAATGTGATAAGTTTAGACACATGCATGCATTTGGTGTGAGAGACCAGGGTTCGAATAAACTGTGAGACACCAATGTGTCCCTGAGCAACCCGGTATCACGACAAGACGTGAAATAATCACGTTGGTCCACTTTGGAAAACGTGTAGATGTCACGGTTTAACCCCTTCAAAAGGTTTGATTCTACACGCAATCGCCTCTGCCATAACGACCTATTGGTTTTCATTAAACCGAGAAAAAAATGGAATTTTGTTTTATTGACGATCACTGAGAAATGTTCTATTAATTAAAATGCAAAAATGTGTTATTTTCAAGGTGAAAAGGATTAATTTGCCTGGATCCACGGCGAAAAAAAAAACGTCAAAATGTCACGTTTTTAATCAAGTAGCAAATGAGTAAAACGTCTATTTTTCAGGCGTCCCCCAGCTCCTCGTTTAAGCAAAAGGTACGCTAAAACAACACATTACATCGACGTTAAACCACGTTAACCGTGTTAACCATAACCTTTTAAATACTCGACCTACCGTTGCTTAGCAACGGGAAGAAACTCCTGTAACTTCAGTGCCGTTAGCACCTTAGTGCTTACAGATTAGGAGACATTAGTGTGTTCGCTGCATTTGTAATGTTATACTTTTAGAATAGGTTAACATCCGGGTATCTCTCCACTGGAATGTGTTAACGCAAACGTGTAAGTTTCACGTTTGAAGGGGTTAAACCGTGACATCTACACGTTTTCCAAAGTGGACCAACGTGATTATTTCACGTCTTGTCATGATACCGGGTTGCCCTGAGCAAGACACTTAACCCCTAGTTGCTCCAGAGGCGTGCGACATCTGACATATATACTGTAGCAATTGTAAGTCGCTTTGGATAAAAGCATCAGGTAAATGAATAAATGTAAATGTAAATGTAGAAAATACATTTGTCTGCCAGTCATCAAGTAAGCAATACATATTAGTTTGAAATCCACCCATCCATGTTCTACACCTGTTTATATGAATGGCTATGCTGGTGTTTTTATACATCATGGATTTAAATTGTTTTAGCAATATTTCAACATCATTTCTATTTCAACATTAAAATGATGTTGCTACTTGTTAGAAATATCAACTAAACCGAAGAAAGACTTTCAACCTCCTGTTTAATATTAATTTGCATGTAAATATCATCTACAAATCAAGAGTGTCGACTTACAGACACTCCCTCCTCATCTGTCAACGGTTAACTTTGTAGTAGACCACAAAGTTCCAAAAAGGACCACAAAAACCACAAAGTTAACCTATCTGTCATAGGTTAACTTTGTGGTTTTAGTTGAGCTAGGGCAGATACTAGCCACAGCAGGGAATGTCAACAAAGTCAAACTCCCCACAGTTTAGCCCCACAGGAAACCGACAAGACCAACCACAAACACATACTGTACAAACTTTGTTCTCCTTCATTCAACTAAACCTAAAAACTTTTAAGTCTTCTAATCTTTCAATGTATAGAGTGTGAATTGTGAAGGTAAAATAATGCCTAAAAGTATTGTATGCTCAGGGTAAGATTCGAGAAAGAGTATATAAGATTGTAAAATAAATTTGCATGTGCAAGAGAAGATTTGTAAAGGTGTAAAGAGAAAAAAAATATTTGCAGCATTTAAAGGACAACTCCGGCGCAAAATGAACCTTTGGTCTAATTACACATTGTTACCTAGTCAACCGTTATCTGAGATTTTTTTTCATGATTGCCGAATGTAAATAGTTTTATCTATAAAAACAGTTTAGCCTATAACGCTAGTATAACGCTAGTCTATAGGGCATAGAGTAATGACAAATAAAAATCGCTTTTTATTACCACTAACAAGGCTCAAAATAGCCCCACAGTAACACGGTAGCACAATAAGGATCCATACATTCAAACCGAAGCATTGAGAACTTTGTCAGTGTCCATACCGTTTAATAAGAAGATATTTTATACACACAGTCAACTTTGCGAATACAGGAAGAAGCCATCTTTGAAAAATAGTCTCTACCAGTCGATCTACGAACGCCGATCCAAGTGCGCTGGTGAGATGTGAATAAAGTGATAATGTGAGCGCGAACAGTAGGCAACATGTACATATTAAAGAGAAGAAAGTGGTTTGTGTTTGTGTTTCTTCCTTGTTACTGTGGGGCTATTTTGAGCCTTGTTAGTGGTAATAAAAAGCGATTTTTATTTGTCATTACTCTATGCCCTATAGACTAGCGTTATACTAGCATTATAGGCTAAACTGTTTTAATAGATAAAACTATTTAGATTCGGCAATCATGAAAAAAAATCTCAGATAACGGTTGAATAGGTAACAATGTGCAATTAGACCAAAGGTTCATTTTGCGCCGGAGTTGTCCTTTAACTGTTATTTGTAAGTGTAATTCATGTAATTTGAAGCTGCAGCTTCATGCTAACGCAAAATAAATAAGATCTGTATTCTTCAGACTTTCATTTTTCCGCGCTTACACTTTTGGCACGGTTTTTGTGCACAAATGTGGCCAAAAGTATTGCAAGCCTGCATGTGAACAGAAATCTGCAGGCGAAAAAAACAGAGGCAGGAAACTGCAAAACAGATGAATTGCATAAAATCAAACTTTGTTTAAAAAAAAATAAACGGTTGCAAATGTCTGAATGACTTGTTGTGTGCATTGTGTAACAAAAGTTCCCGAAATAACCCAATCTGTACAACGCATTCTCATCCCAAGGCACTTCTGCCAAAGCATAGACATCCAACGCTCATGGCACCCTTTAGCGTCAAATGAGACGCTTCGGTTATGGTAGGTTTAGGTATGTATGGGGTAGGGTTAGGGTTAAACCACTAGGAGGCGCCTTCTGCCCCATATATATCTGCGTCTCATTTGACGCTAAAGAGTGCCATGTGCGTTGGATGTCTACGCTTTGGCAAAAGCGTTGTATATGACGCCTTACCTGCGCTTCCAGTTTTGGCACGATTCTCTCACTAACTGAGTTTTGTAAGTGTGAAGAGGAGGGCAGGTCCACCTTCATCCTGTAGCCAATCAGATGAGTTTCTCGCTGACACTCTGCTTACTCTTATCTGATTGGTTTAATAAACACACCTGTCACCAAAATAAACCTTTATGTTTATTTTGCTCAGAAATGTTCTCATTGCCGAAATGGTACTTTTAATGCACCCATACATGTTAATTAAATAAATAAATGAACAAATAACTAACTAAATAATCCTCATACGGAGGATGTGTGATCCTCGTTTACCCATATGAGCCACATGAAAAATACGAAACTGAAATAATAAGTCACTTACCAGACAGTTGGGAATCACTTCTCTTGCCGCTACCCGAAAGTCGACGACACGACTGTTGAAGATCACAATGCTCTGTAGATTTGAAATTTACAGCAATATTCTGTATTTTTGAATCAAAACGCCGCGCCCTGTAAATATAGAGAGTCTCTTTCAAGACCTGCCTCTTTTGTTATAAAATAAAGTTGTTATGTGGAAAAATAAAATAATATTAAAAGTCTTGGCCCATCAGGAATTTCACTTGGCCCACCTTACATCTCAAAAGCTGGAGCCGGGCCTGACTGTACAGTAACTAAGTAGGCTATTTCGTAGGCTAATAAGTAGGCTAATAAGTAGAAATTCTTCTTTCAACCAATTTCTTCAAAATAGCCAAACATACTCATTTATTTAACTTAGCAAATGACTGTAGGCCTATTTATGAATAGATAGCCTAATAGCCCTTTCTGGTAATTTGATTTTTAAACAAAGCAATGAATGTAGCAATGCACTACTGTTTCAAATGTTATTGCACACCTTTTTTTTTTAAAGAAGACAAAACGCAATACTGGTAGTTTGCAGTACACTAGTATTCCATTATAGCTGATGGATGGCTCTATTGACTTATTGATGTGAGTAACATCACCATACTAATACTGTGTTTGACCCCCTTTCGTCTTCAGAACTGCCTCAATTCTACATGGCATTGTTTCAACAAGGTGCTGAAAGCATTCTTTAGAAATGTTGGCCAATATTGATAGCAGAGCATCTTGCAGTTGATGGAGATTTGTGGGATGCACATCCAGGGCACGAAGCTCCCGTTCCACCACATCCCAAAGATGCTCTATTGGGTTGAGATCTGCATTTAAACGATGCCTAATCGGCACAAAGGCCCTAAAGTGTGCCAAGAAAACATCCCCCACCATTACACCACCACCAGCAGCCTGCACAGTGGTAACAAGGCATGATGGATCCATGTTCTCATTCTGTTTACGCCAAATTCTGACTCTACCATCTGAATGTCTCAACAGAAATCAAGACTCATCCGACCAGGCAACATTTTTCAACTGTCCAATTTTGGTGAGTTCTTGAAAATTGTAGCCTCTTTTTCTTTTTTTGTAGTGGAGATGAGTGGTACCCAATGGGGTGCTGTAGTATCCCACCCGCCTCAAGGTTGTGCGTGTTGTGGCTTCACAAATCCTTTGCTGCATACCTCGGTTTTAACGAGTGGTTAAGTCAAAGTTGCTCTTCTATCAGCTTGAATCAGTCGACCCATTCTCCTCTGACCTCTAGCATCAACAAGGCACTTTCACCCACAGGACTGCCACATACTGGATGTTTTTCCCTTTTCACACCATTCTTTGTAAACCCTAGAAATGGTTGTGCGTGAAAATCCCAGTAACTGAGCAGATTGTGAAATACTCAGACCGGCCTGTCTGACACCAACAACCATGCCACGCTCAAAATTGCT